CCTCGTAGAGTTGTTGTAAGGATGCAATGAAACGTAATAGTACAGTGCCTGGCAAACAGGAAGTGTTCCATGAACAGGATGACCATACAAATTATTTTCCAAATCGGTACCCAGAGTAAAGGGGAACTATTCATATTTATGCTGAAACAATAGGTATAAACTGGGGCTGTCCTGAGAAAACTGGGAGTTATGGTTACCCCATCCATACATGTTAGCACTTTTATTTGAGAGTGTATGAGGGATAAAGTGACCAGAGAGAGGCTAAGCAGCAATTTTTACTACCTTTTCTTACCTTACATGTGTGTATTTTCACTCAGAAAAAAGCTGCTGAAAAACTGAGTTTTGGGAATTGTAAGATATTAGAGAATATACACCCCTATTTTTTAAAACTGTGGTAAAATATATAACCCAAAATGTGCCACTTTTAAACATTCTTAGATGTAAAATTCAGTGGTACTAATTACATTCATAATATTGTGCAGACATCACCACTATCTATTTCCAATACTTTATCAGCCCATTAATCACTAACTCTTTATTTTGCCTTCTCCCCAACCCCTGGTAACCTCTAACCTACGTTCTGTCTCTGTGAATTTGCCTATTCTAGGTATTTCATATAAGTGGAATCACACAGTATTTGTCTTTTTGTGTTTGGATCATTTCACTTTGCATAATGTTTTCAAGGTTCATTCATGCTGTAGCATATATCAGGACTTCCCTTTTTTTGGATGAGAGCATTTCTATTTTATTCCACTGTATGCATGTACCACATTTTGTTTATCTGCTCCTTTTATTGGCTTGTTTTCACCTTCGGCCATTGTTAAATAATTCTTGATTTTTATTACTTATTTTCTTTTCAAAGATTTAATTCCAAGTTCCAAGATTATGTTTACTAAACAATAATCATTAAATAAAAGTGCTGCAAATCAGACTCTCTTAAGACCAACGCTAGTAAGCATAAATCTAAATTTTCATTTTCAGGCATTTATTTGTAATAAGAGATATATAACCAAGAAGTCAGAATTATTTTTAGGCAAGAGGGGTTGTCATTGAAGGAACCAGTCATATGGATTTATAATTCATAACTTACCTTTTCGTGCCACTGCAATAACACAGCGCTGCTATTGTCAGAGGGGCTCTCAAAGCCTTTATAGATATACTTCATTAGGAGATCCACACCATTCTTGTCCAGGGACTGAACTGCCTTTTCAATATCATTAGCTTTAAACGAGATGAGCACCTTCAAGACAATGCTGCCTGCCCGATCCTGAGGGTAAATAAGTAACAGAACAGTTAGACATGTGTGTGGGGTTACAGTTTTGCAAAGGCCGCCCTGAGGAGGTGACATGAAAGAGGAAACCGTGGGATGGCTGAGGAAAGTATTTCAGACAAGGAAAGAACAAGTGCTGTTAGTGTGTGTTCAAGGAATAGCATGAAGACCTAAGGTGGCTGGGGCTGAGCCGTGAGAGAACAGCAGGGCAAAAAGTGAGAGGATGTGGGGAGACAGATGATACAAGCCCTGCAGGCTACCGTGGGGAACTTTGTCTTTCAGTGAGGGAAATGATGTTGGGTGGTTTTGAGAAGAACAGTGGTATAATCTGTCTTACATTTGAACAGGATCACTTGGCTGCCATGTTGAGAATAAGCTGGGGGTGGGGGTGGTTTTGGGGACAAGGCAGAAGCAGGAAGACCAGTCAGGAAGTTATTGCAGTAACATAGGCTGGTTCTGACTAGCATGGTAGCAATGGAGGTGGTCAAAAGTGGTCAGATTCCTGACATAGTTGGAGGTAGAGCTGAAAGGATTTGCTTATCGATGTGATAATCTACCAATTTATTCTATCCAGATTTTTAAAAAAAACTTTGAACCATCCTTCCGAAATAGGTTATTAATAAAACGTATTTTAAGTTTTGTGTTTATAGGTAAGAGACTCTTGATGTCAGATATCAGCAGAGATCACTTGTCTGTGACTTACCTTCACCGCCTGACTCTTGGTGTTGATAGGGGGGTTTTTCAGGGCTGCCTGCAGGGCAGCTGTCATGTTTCCTGTGATGGAGGTTAAGGAGACAGCAGCAAAGGGCGACCCTCAGGGAAGCATTGCAACTACCAGGAACCATTTGGGTCTTAAGACTGGACTTTATGTACAGAAAGAAAAATCACTATGGTCACTATGTTCAATACTGGAAAATTCACCATTTTGTTTTCAAGTATGTCAATCAAAGATCTGATACTGAAAAACAAAAAAGGACATTAGATTTGTTTTTTAATAAAGCAAAGACTTTCCTCCTTGGTTCTAATGATCAAATGAATACCTTACTAATCTCCCATTTTCTAGTAAGACACATATGGAAATATTATTCAGTGATATTTATAAAAAACTCTAAACTATGCATCAGAATTATTAGGCCCCAAAGGGAAACAGCCTAACCTCAACAAAAACATGTCCATTTTATGTGATTCTAACTGGAAAAACAAAGATCAAATTTTTTTCTAGAATTATGTTCTATATTAATTGATATGCTGGTAGAAAATGCTGGTAGATTAGCAATCTGAGTGACTTACATTAGTAATCTCTCAATATGGATGAAAAGAGGCATTATAGAACATATCCAATGACCCTTGGGTGACAACTTAACTCTGGGATATTTTCTCTCATATTTCATAAAGGCTATTCAAACTGTCTCAGGCCATACCTACTAAATGTAGTCTCTCTTTGAAAGCACCCGTGAGTGAGCTTGTATGAGACACGGAAGGCCAATCAGACTGTCAGAATGTACAGTCATTCCCCTAAAAGGAAAACCACACAGAGCTCACTTGTTCCTCCATCTGTGAGGGCCTGACCAGCATTTGTGTCTTCTCTTTGTAACAAGAGCAGAAAAGACGGTGTCTTTATAAGCAGATGCACCATCTGGATAAAGCAGAACCACTAGGGGTCATCTCCTATCATCTAAAATTAATTTCGCAAACATCATTCATTCATCACAAAGAATGTTTTTAGACAGAATAATGTTCACCACTTATTTTCCAAAGAAAGAAAACCTATGGTTGGTGGCGGTAAGCTGTTATTTTCAAGGTTTAATTTGACTTCTAGGGAAGTAGCCTTTTGCATGTAGACTGGCTCATTAAGACCCCAAACACTTAAATATTTAAATAACTCAACGTAGCAACAGCTGATTGTAAAAGTTGTGGAAATGAAAGGAACATCTGTATGCTGATACATGTTTAAGGCTGTATTTTAGGTGCCTTTAAGACCAAATGTAGTTCCTACCAAATATTGTCACTCATCTATTTCCCCCTTAGAATTAAATAGGACATTGATGAGGAAAGAGTCTACAAAGCCTTCCTTATGAATACACCCAATAATAACTAGAAATGAGTGGATTTAGTAATTGAGAATCTCTAAAACTACAACTTGAGCTATTGCAACATTTACATTTTTCTGAAGAAACGCTGATGTTCAAGGTTATGAATATTCAAATATGCAAAAATCCAAACCCAGGAACTGACAGCCAAATTTGAACTAAAATGGTAAGGATTTCATGATTATAAAAATGAGCTCTGCTTTGTACAAATGGCCCATCTTCTTCTATCCCATTCACTGGGGTTTACTTGAAATATTTTCAGGGATTCTCATTCCGTCTTCTTTCTATCGTCTTTGTGCAGCGGGCAAAGCCTCCAAGCTTCCTTTTCGGAGTTTTGGTTGTTGTGTGCTCCTACCCCTTCCCCAGTTAACAAATTCTGTGCCAAATACCTTAAATAAAAATAAAAATAAAAAAGCCCCCAGGCTGGAAGGACAGAGGGCCTCCTGCAGCAACCGCCCAATCTCTGCTGGCAAGGAATAAACTATCCTAACGCGACCAAAACAAAACCATCACAACAGACACAAAATCACGAAAGAAAGATGCCCATCCCTCCCCGTTGGAAATTTCTGGACCTAACGTGACCCCAGGAAAGAGCGTTCCCGGAGGAAAACGTCGCCCCGATCAGCCCCGG